GCCATCAATCTACGATCAAAGTCTAATTTATTTCTTCTCAGTGACCGTCTGATCGGGTCTGAGGAGGTCATCTGAGATGTGACTTCATCTTTTTTTTTCAAGAAGAAAAAATAACCCAACTTTTTTTCAAATAACAAAAGTACCAACACACACGTGTATTTGTGCTTGAGATGCCGGTTTGGCCATTGGAGCACGAATTATTGGCATATATGGGTCGAACTATCCGTACGTCCAAGTTTATACTACCTCTTTAGCCTAAAATTTTTTCTATTTTGACTTTTGAGACGAGAAAATATAGAGATCTGACCAAAGTAAAAATGTGACAATTGAAAATATGAAGAAAAGATAGGTGATAAATGTCATTTTAGATAGTGCACAGAAGATAGTTGAGATATGCTTGGTTAGATTTAAGAAAAATAAATATAATTATGTCCATATAGCTCAAACTGAAATGTTTTATGTGACATACAAGATGTGAAAGTTGAAAAATTACACGGAACTAAGAAAGTATGATCAAATATCATTTTTTAAGTAGATTCCAACATAAAAATTAGATTTCAATGAATTTCTTTCGTTGCTTAAGTACTAGGAAGAATACTCCTCAAAATTCTATGGATGTTGATTCAGATATACTTTTTAATAAAGCTGTTGAGTTATTGTGCGTCATTGTATTTAAAAAAGTATAGACTTATATTATATTGTAATATGGTCAACATCATTTAAAAAATAGATTTAATTTGAACTTTACCCATGAAACCATTCATCTATATGTGTCTATATTCTACTCCATTCGTTTTCCAAAAGAATTTATCTTTTATTTTTTTTCGTTTGCAACAAAATACGTACTTCCACTATGATTAAAAATGACTAGTATTTTCAAATTAAGCTATGGCAATATAGTTAATTCATTTTACATTGATAAAATAAGTTATTTAAATGAATTTTCAATCTTTTTTCTTTGACGGTTAAGACATAATTTGAAAGTCAAATTACGAAAATAAATTAGTCAAAATAAGATTTTTTTTACAAAGCGGAGGGAGTATACACATAAAATCATTATACACATGAATGTACGTAATTTATTTTGTTAGATCGACACTATGTTTACATTAGCGTTTCTGGGTTTCACATGAGTTTATATGCATTATATACAAAAAGATAAAGCTAATAAGATAAATTTCAAATAAAATTAAAATGTGTTTAGGTAAAATCTATGACAAGAAGTTTACAAAAATCAGAAATCGTTTAATGAACACATAAATTATTATAATCCATAAAAGTAACAATTAATTAACGAGGATTTATTATATAATAAATCCTCATTATTTAATTACTCCCTATTAACCATGCATGTATACGAGAAGTCATTAACGTAAAACCTCGATTGCCTTTCATTAAACACCGGGGGATAAACATACAAGTATGATTGGGCTATACAATTGGGCCTATCATCTATGTACAAATACATGGGCTAACATTGAAGACTGGATATAAGTATGGGGCTGGTTCCCGTAACATTAAATTGAGAATCAATGTCATGAGATGACCCGAACACATCCACACCTCTTTTAATTGCACCCTTCAAGTTAAAATGCAAGAAATGCTTATGAAAGTTAGTTTACATTTTACAAACTAAAGAGAACGAGTGATAATAAAATATTAATTCAAATGTTTGTTAATATTCTTATACTCATGATATGGATATAGTTAACTGAAATATTTTAATTAGTTATTTATATATTAGTAGTTATTTATTATTATTTATTAATATTCTATAGTTAGGGTTTTAGTATGGGCCCGAACTCATTAGGTCAAGAGGTGATGTCTTATCAGTATATATTGTAATCTCGTATGGTTATTATGAATCAATCAATAATCAGGAATATCTTAATCTCTTGTTTCTCTTGTCTTGGAGCTCAAAAATGCTCGAAGTTTTCCTTCTCTCTTTGCCTCCCCTTTCTTGGAGCCCAAAGACGCTTGAAGTTCTTCCTTATCCGATACGATATTCGTATCAACTCATCATAAAAAAATAAAAAACTCTTATTAAAGTGCAACTTACACATAATGAAATTAAACGTAATTGCCGATATAAATTTTTTATATAATGAAGAAATATAAAATACTATTATAATTATTTTTATAATATATTAGTATATATGTTCAGTTCGGGAATTTTGGTATGGGATGTAACCTCATATCGTTCCCAAATACCGGACCGAGCATTCGATTCGGTACGGCTCGGGTACTTTGCGGTACTTTATCTGTTTAGTTTTTCGATTAGGTATTCTCGGTTTTTTCGGGAAACATCGGGATCGATTCGGTCCTTGCTCATCCCTAATGGGCGAGGTAGATTGACATTTACGTTGCCGTCGCCGGTAACTCAATTGTGCTTCAAAAGGGAGCAACGAATGTCGGGCAGCTGACAGTGATGTTGCTTTCTGACGCGTAAGTAGATCTTCTCACATAAAAAAATTCTTTTTTTTAAATTTAAAAACAAATGCTTATTTAAGTACTAATAAAAAAATGCTTATTTTACAATTATGTAGATACATGGTGGACACTAGGTCTACCACCGAATTTGCCTTTTATTTTGCATTTTTTATTGAAATACACAACTTTGTATTTTTGGCACAGTAACATTATTTACAAGAAGGAAATTTGTCTAGGCTTTAATTTATTGAGATCTACAAAATATACATGATTTGAGGTTTCTACACAATACATATACTTTTTGAAAGGTAACAAGTCCTACACTTCACTGAACATATACACTGATTCATTTATAGCATAAATAATTTTTATTCACGTAGACTTTTGATGACTTGTTATTTACACTGATTGACTTCTATCTGAACACGGTCTGAAAAAGTGTGCTTCAAGATTGTTTTATTTTTTGTTTTTCTTTTTAATTTTTTAATCGCATGACTTATAATGCAATCATTGAAATATCAAATTTTCAGAAAAACACTCATTTGAAGTAGAGGAAGAATGCCCATTTGGATTTTCAAATAAATGTCAAGTTATAAATATTTGACCTTAACCTACTTTATAAGTTAATATTTATTCACTAAAACAAAAATTAATTTTCAACACATTAGTATCCAAATTTATTTATTTACGAAACTATTAAATTTAGCTAATAAAAAGAATATATGTACAACCTAAAGAAAAATATGAAAATATTTGGCTAACTTTTACATAAGAGGGTTGTTAAAAATAATTCTAACTATAAAAGAGTAAAAAGTGTAAGAAAATTTTAACTGTATTAAAAGTGGTAACTGGACCGATTCTGAGTATTCGAGATCGGGCAAAATACTATGAATTAGGTGTCCTTAGCATCACCCGAATAAACCTTCTCAGAGAATGACCCAGTAGGAATGGTGGTACAAGTTTGAGTCCCGATCGAGGGCATAGAAAAGGCGACATCGTTGTCTTGATGGTTGACTTCTGAGAAATGATAGATTTTGTCTTAAATAACTCTAACGGTCAGGTGTGAACATCTATGTCCATACTTGTACATCAATGTTCAACTGAATTTTCTTAGACTTGACTAGATAGTGCTATACAAAATGCTACATGGTTGTTCAAGACTCATCTACTAAGACTGAGATTTTCAAACCTTCCCAAAACAGTGTCGTAGTGATTCCTATATCGTTGTTTGGTTTGTAGGCCAGAAACCAAGTTTGGCAGCCAACACCAAACACCGATGTCAAAAACTGAAGTTTGCCAAATTAAAAATCAAATGTTGAAAATACTTATTTGGTGGATTTATAGTAAAAACTAAGTATAAAAACATAAGGACCATGTTGATAAGGTGAAAACCACTGATGACTAAGTGAAAGATGATTTTCACGGTTTTTTTACCAAAAAACCAAAGACCAAAAGTAGTTTTCAAAAAGTAATTGCTTGGAAACCTTTTCAATATGCCTAGAAGTAAAAACCAATGATAAATATATGAAAACCACTTGGTTCATTCGGACGTCAAAAACTGACGCCAAAAACGGAATGCCAAATGACTTCTCCATCTTGGTCTTACTCTCCCACATGTTTCCTACTCAGTACAACATCTTAGCCAATTTATATCCACCCCCACTGTTCAGCACATGCAGGCTACCATTTGCCATGGTCTCTTTTACCCCATCCAACAAAAACTTCTACTTACAAGTTTTTTCTAATGCAGACTATGGATCATGCCTTACTACTAGAGAGTCTTTAACTGGTGGTGGTATAAATACCAATAGCCTAAAGAAAAATGCACATCCTTAGAGGCAGGTCCAGAATATACAATAAGAAGACATTTTGGGATCGGAGTAGAGTCAGATATTAGGCTTATATTGGGCCTGAGGCCAACTCACTCCACACCTCGATCTACCCTAAACCTTAAATACTACCCATTTCCCGTGAAAATGCTCCCTACACCCTCATACTAGGGGGGAGAAGCTAGCCCCTGCACTCACACAACTAAACTCTCTGCAAACATAAACTATTTCTTGAAATATTTGCAATAAATAGCACTAAAACTTAAGTCATTTCTCTAAATATCACTTGGACATTTTTATTCCCTAAAAGTCATATACTTGAATAATGACTAATGAATAATGACGACTAAAAGTGCTATATAGGGAAAAAAACACATGTAATGCTATTTAGGAAAAGTCATTATATTTTAGTGCTATTTAAGTAAATTCCTCCTATATCTTTCTCTCACTTTATTCACCATCTTCTTCCTGAAGCTTGGAAGCTCCATTAAGAGCACTGGTAATGGTTATGAAGCCCCGGGGCTTCAAACCGGGGCTTCAAACTTTCTCTCTCTGCCACGTCAGCTTTAACTTACACCCAAAATTCACTGGAAATGGGTTTGAAGCCCCGGGGCTTCAAAACTGGGCTTCAAACCTTCATTTTTTACATTTTTAAATATACATCTTCTAAAATTAAATTAATAAAATGTAATTAATTTATTATCCCACATCGCATCCTTCGTTTGCTCCGTACCTTTAAAAATGTATTACACAATTTTTTTAGACACCATTAAATATAATATATAAAAATAAAAACATAAATATATTACAAAAAATAAATTTTTAACCAATGATAGGATGCTCGGAGACGTCAACCCAAGCCGACGCCAATATGCACTCCTCCTCCGGCGTCCACTTTTGGATTGACCGTGCCGCCTCGGTCAACGTGCTTTTGGCTTTGTGGCTTCTCCGGCGTGTACTTTTTTTCGATCCGGACGGTTCCGGTTGAGTCTCCGGAACCGAATCTCGGTCGACGTACCCCGACTGTTGTGTGTCGTACATCGGCGGTCGATCGCCCAACTCTTGGTAATACCACATCGCGGCGTCAACGGGCGGGAGATCGTCGGGAAAGAAGCCGGAGCCGTAAGGATTCATGTTGAAATTTGGGAGGGGGGGTTTGAATTTTGAAATTTAAAAATAAGAAAGAGGAAGAGATTGAACAGAAGGTGTGAGAGATTGGTTAGGGGGGTTGAATTTATAGGGAAAATTTTTTTTTCTTTTTTGAAATGTGGGCTGCAACGGCTTTTTTAGCCGTTAGGAGGAGCCGCGCAAGAGTCACGCCACGTCAAACGAATGACGCAGGCGCCCTCACGCCTGTTTCACGCCGGCGGGGGGCGGTGTTTCACGCCCCCAGGGCGTTAAACGCCCCGTAACGCCGGTGTGCGTGAGGGGTATTACCAGTGCTCTAATGACTTCTAAAGCTACTCTCATGTATATGTAAACTCTCCCCAAATTTAATAAACGCATCTCCCCTTAGCATGGTACCACCTAAAAAGGCCCGGGTTTTCGCCTATTTGGTTTCCACGTAAAAAAATATTGTCTATCCCTATATATATATATATATATATATATATATATATATATATATATATATATATATATATATATATATATATATCTGAAAGAATTATTTGGGAGGAAATTCTCTTGTATTTCTCTCTTGTCTTTTCAATTTACAATGAAGACATATATATAGAATCTCACAAGTTCAGACTCCTAATTAGTAAAGGAAAAGTAAAGGAAAGAATAAACCCTATACAAGGAAAAATACCAAAACAATATATACACAAATATATCCAAATATTCTCCGAATATTCTCTTTTCTCTAACTATATATATATATATATATATATATATATATATATATATATATATATATATATATATATATATATATATATATATATATATATCCCTAATTTGTATTTTAAAATCCGTTCAAAATCAATAAATCTAATAGACTGGAGAGTGGATCAACCTATTTGCTCTCAAGAATAATCAGAGAACTACACAAATTCTTGATTAGGGGCATTAAAATACGGAGTATGTAATTATAAACTTATAAGACTATGCGTTTGAAATTTTATTACCCTTATTACTATAATGTAAATTACTATTAAAAAATTAATTGATAGATTTTACTTCATGATCATACAATTATCCATTTTCACCGTGCTAGCCAGGATCTCTGATTCCTTGGAAATGGCTCTGATGGTCGCCCACTTATAATTTTATTATTATTGGATAGAACTGATGTTTATGTCTTTAAGTTTGTTTTATTTCTATCTAGAGAAATTTATGTTTGATTATTTCCTGCATTAGAAGTTGAACAGAATGTAATCAATATATAAACTATTGATTTGAACTAAGTACATAATAGATTGGATTCAATCTTTTAATGTGATTTAACTCACGTGTCTTATGGCCCAGTCCAATGATCCTTACACCATTCTATATTCTATCATGCTATCAGAGCTAGTTTTAGCACACCTCGTTTGTTAAGGTGTTTGTCTAAACGTTCATTCTTGGCGGCCCAGTCTTTAGCCCATTTGTTCGTGTGGAATGTATATCCAACGACATGTGGCCTGTTTAACCCGATTGCTTATCTAGAAATTCATACCCTGCGGCTCGTGGTCCTTTAGGTGTTGGCGCTCAAAAAAATCAAGGAGGTGGGAGTCCATTTATAAGTGGTCAACCGATTAGATTCAAAATGTCCCGATCGTCCACGTGAGGGGAGTGTTAGAGCCTATCCTACATCAGAATTTAAATATATAAGCTTTTAATGAGGTTCAATCTAAGTGTGTTATTGTTCAATCTAGTTATCCCTACCCCATTTTAAATTTAGCAATTTCTTAATACAAATTACAATCATAAATTATTTTAGGGAGAAAGACCAAAGTAGGACTAAAACATTGAAAATATATTACAAAACAAGACTTCCATGTTTTTATTCCTAAAATAGTACTTAAAATGCATTTACATTACCAAAAAGTATAGTAATGTGCACATATACATTGTCACATTACCATAGTGCAAATTCTTATTTAGGAAAAAACATGAAATTCCTATTTTGGTACTTTCCCTATGTTTTATTCCTATTTAGGATGATTTCTAATTATTTTATGGGCGTTAAAAAAAGCAAATTTTATGATTGACTTTAAGTCTATCATAGACTTAGATTTGAACAAAATAAACATTTTCTTATTACTTAAACAAGCATCCTTTTTTTCAATTATATTACAAAAATAAAAAAAATATTTTAAAAGATCCACACAAAAAAATGCACCCAAAATGCATTATAAAAACATTCTAAAAAACCAGCAGGAAATTAAAATCTTTCAACTGAGGAAGTAGTAATTCAAAGTGTAGCTTTAATAAAAGCCTATTTTAGAGTAACCACTGCCGGCCATCTACCTGCGAACAATTGCTTTGCAACATTACATTTTGAATCATAATGACGAATTTTTTTTACCGACAACTACCACAGTTTTTTGATCATATATGATAATGTTTTATCACGAATTAAATATAAATTAAGATAATTAAATATTATAAAAATTTGATATTTTAAAATTATATTTTAATATAAATCTAATTTTACTAAATTTATATTATAATTAAATATTTTTTTAAATAATTCATGGTCAAAGTGTACTACTATTTAATAAAATTCAAATTGTGACAATCTTTCATGCATGGACGGAGGGAGTATTATTTTTCTTATGTCATCGTAGTCATCAAGAAGACTTAATTCCTTCTAAACCCAAAATATTCCATCGTCTCGAAACTCACATTTCAAACAATATGTAAAATATCATCTATTTTAAAATTATTTTATTTACAAACTAGTACAAAAAAAAGTATATTTATAATGTTCAAAAGTGCATCAAAAGTTATACTCTCTTTGTCCCAAAAAGATTGTCACAGTTTAAATTTTAAAACTATATTTTAAAATAAGCATAATTCTACTTAATTTATATTACAACTAAATATACTTTTTTCATAATTTGTTGCCAAAGTGTTACACAATGTGACCAAAAAAGTTGGATTGAATTGTTACAATCTTTTTGGGATGGAGGGACAACATACAAGATGCGATAAAAATATTTTATTTTATCAAATGGTTACCGAAAAAGAGTATACAAATAAAAATAATCGAGAGATCGAAATATTAATGGTTCAATCGTTCCTAAGTACTAATTCAAAGTGTAGCTTTAATAAAAGCCTTTTTTAGAGTAACCACTGCCGGCCCGCTACCTGCGAACAATTGCTTTGCAACATTACAATTCTGAATCATAATGACGACTTTTTTTACCGACTACTACCACAGTTTTTTTTTATCAAATATTGACACTTTTGATCATGAATTAAATATAATTTAAGATAACTAAATGTTATAAAAATTTGATACTTCAAAATTATATTTTTATATAAACCGAAATACGTAATTTCACTAAATTAATATTATAACTAAATATACTTTTTTCATAATTATTCATGGTCAAAGTGTGTTACTATTTGATAAAAAACTTCAAATTGTGATAATCTTTTATGGACGGTGAGACTATTATTTTTCTTATGTCATCAGCATGACTTAATTCCTTCTATACCCATAAAATATTCCATCGTCTCAAACCCCACATTTCGAACAACATGTAAAATGTCGTCTTTTTTAAAATTATTTTATTTACAAACTAGTACAAAAAAAAAGGTAAATTATAATGTTCAGAAGTAAATCAAAAGTTATACTCTCTTTGTCTCAAAAAGATTGTCACATTTAATTTTTTTTAGTTAAATTATGCAATGACACCCTTTGAGTACAAATTAAAAACAGTACAGTTTAAAATAATTAAATATTAGAAATATTTGATATTTCAAAATTATATTTTAAAATAAACCTAATTCTACTTAATTTATATTATAACTAAATATACTTTTTTAATAATTTGTGGCCAAAGTGTTATATAGTGTGACCGCAAATAAAGTCATATTGTTACAATCTTTTTGGGACGGAGGGAGTACAAACAAGATGTGATAAGAATATTTTATTTCATCAAGTGGTCACCGAAAAAGAGTAAACGAGTAAAAATACTCGAGAGGTCGAAATAGTAATCGTGATATTCTTTTTGGGACGGATGAAGTATATACGGAGTATTTATTTGAACCTTTTCTATTTGTATATAGAAATAGCTATAATAAAATAGTACTCCGTATTTCACAATTATGATTCAAATTAAAGATATACTCCCTCCGTCCCAAAAAAGTTTGTTACGTTTAGAAAAAACTGCGTCCCATAAAGTCCGTTACATTTCTATTAAAAAACCACTTTTACCCCTTACTTTTTCATACCCTACCTATCACATCATACCTTTTTTCTAGTAATCTACCCATCACATCCTACTTTTACCCATCACATGAAGGGTATTTTTGGGAAGTCAATACCAAAAAATCTCTTCCTTAATTTTCCAAAAAGTCAAACCGTCCCATTCTTTTTGGGACGGAGGGAGTACAAGATATTAAATTTATATTAAAATTTAGTGTACTGTTCCATTGACATTGGCCAACGTGCTCCATTCAGAAAATTGTTGGTTCTTAATTACCTCCACACCCATTCCTTAAACCTCCACCCTAACTCTATCTATTCCTCTACTAAGTTTTTTCCAAATGTGTGACTATTATGGAGAGTGTAATATTTCAATATCAGAGGTATATATGGTTGTAAATAGATAATAAAAAATTCAAATTATATATATCCCCGTTTCTATTCGTTTATACGAAGATTACAATGATTGCTCTAAGGGTTATGCTGCTCTCTACTTTTCTAAAGTGACTCGGTCATTTCTCGGTCGTCACGCATGATGTTTGCAAGTGGTTTAAAACTTGAAATGTTAATAATGAAAGAAAAATTTATTACTCCCTCCATTCTACAAAACTCTTCCTCTTTTGTTTTTTTGTTTTCCACAAAATACTTTCACCTTCTATTAAAAAACCACTTTTATCCCTACTTTTTCATACCCTACCTATCACATCATACTTTTTCACTAATAACCAAACTATTACATCTTACTTTTTCCCATCACATCAGGGGCAAAATTGGAAAGTCAACCAAAATTACACTTTTCTTATATTTCCCCAAAGTCAAAACCGGAAGAGTTTTGTGGAACGGAGGGAGTACTACACTACAAACTAGTATCTGTAGTTAAACAGCACTTAAGCTGTTAAATTACCTAAATAGCACTTAATGAAGTCCACAATGTCCGGGATGACCAACATTTACTTGAATAATGACTAATAGATAATGACTAAAAGTGTTACATTGGGAAAAAACACATTTGATGTTATCTAGAGAAAGTCATTATGTTTTAGTGATATTTAAATATTATTCTAAGCATAATGACACACAAAGAAGCAATGCTTTCGCGCCAAAGCTAGGTATCAAACCTACCTGGATGAACTTCATTCCCTGGGGGGGAGAAATTCAAAAGTGTGGCTTAGCTTTAATAAAGGCTGCAGGTTTATAGTAACCAGCAGTGCCGTGCCATGCATGCTATCTATCTGCAGTATCTATGCTGTCTATATATAAATTAGTAATCTCTCTGATCTGCTGGCTTTCTACTTATATTATATTATATTATATTATATTATATTATATTATATTATATTATATTATATTATATTATATTATATTATATTATATTATATTATATTATATTATATTATATTATATTATATTATATTATATTATATTATATTATATTATATTATATTATATTATATTATATTATATTATATTACGCGGCCAGCAGGTACTAAAAAGAATGGCAAATAATAGGTGTTGGCCTCGGCCGGGGGTGTGGGTGATTGCTGGGGTCGTATTGATCCTAATCATTGTAATACCAATTGTTTTTATTTACTTACGGGCCCCTTTGTGAAATGGGCCCTAGGCACACACATCATCGCTTCGATCGATCTATGTAACGTACAATTAATAAACTTAATTGTTTTTTTCTTTTTCTTGTTCCTCTTCTTACTACATACTTATTCTGGTGGTTCTTCTATCAATCAATATGTGACGACATGCAATGCGTACGTACTGCTTCTTCTTGCACGCACGTTGTATGTATGAAGATCAAAGACGGCCGGCCGCCGGTGGCGCTCGAGGCGGTGGGTATAATGTCATGTCTATCCCTTTTATCCATGCATATATGTTCACACACACGCGCACACACATGTGTGCGTGTGTGTCCGTCTGTCATCTTCATCATATATATACCATATAAGTATATACACTAGTTTTTTTTATACTATATATACGATTCTGTCTTTTTGGGTTGTAAAAGCATGGTTGAATGTTCAAAGAATTGTAATAAAAACAGATTTGAATGTTTGGTGGACTCAAATTAAAACAGCTCAAAAATATGTTGATATATTTATTACGGAGTATAATTAATATAATGAATATCATGCCTTCTTTAAATAATACTCTTCTTTTTCTTCTCTCTTTTTTTCAATCTCTTTTGATTTTTGTTTATGTCATGATTATATTTTTGTCCAAGGTCATATTTGTCATAATTGTGTGATTCATATTCACCTCTTTTTTACTTTTTTTGTAATCAATGTCACTCATATAAATTGTAACAATAAATTGTGCGTGTGGTGCCCAAGCTATTGTTACAAAAGAGTTACATAACAATTTCTTTTCTCTAATATTTACACTAATGGTTAGGATTTCTTATACTAATCTCCCTTACATATGGTGTGGTTCTGTGCCTATTCAAAATGACAAAAGTAGTAAAACAAAGCATCATTGGGTGCTTAAGTTGTCCCAATGATCCTTTCTTAGCGAAAGCTATGACGATTTGTCGGGAGGCGCTTAAGGAGAAGGGCATTCACAATGCTGAGGTGTGTTCTTATTGCTTGGGTGTTGTGCAAGCCCTTCAAGTGGAGTTGACTTATTGTTTTGGTTCGATCATTGACGGGTGCCGCTCTTTGTGTACCCCATTTGTCCCCACCCCCTCCATTACCATTCAATTAGGCAAGAAAATTAAAAAAAATAAGTAAATAAAAATCAAAAATAAATGAGTGATTGTTGAAGGGGTGATGTACAAATGGGGTACACCTTTGGTGTACTCCTAGCATGACCCAAATTGGAGTCGTCAAGACTCAATTGTCAAAACCACCGAGTGGTGGTGATATTTTTTTGTTTGGGGAGGGGGGGAGTTGTGATAATTTTTTGTGGACAAAAGAACTCCACATGTATCCCTATCACATCCCCGTAGAAAGAAAGTCATTAATCCAAACGAAAAAGTAGACGGAAAAGTAGTCCCTTATTATATAAGGGCCGTATTAAAGTGACGGAAAAAATGCCAAAGTAACGGCAACAAACGTCATAGGCCCTTATAGTATAAGGGAGGATAAAAACAGATTTGAATGTTTGGTGGACTCAAATTAAAACAGCTCAAAAATATGTTGATATATTTATTGGGCTTGGTTCCCATGACATTGGGAACCAATGTCATGGGAACCAAGGTGATATTTATTACGGAGTATAGTTAATACTCTCTCCGTCCCTGAAAACATTTTTCCTTTCTTTTTTCATCCGTCCCAAAAAACACTTCTCATTTCTTTTAAAAAGTCACTTTTACCCCTTACTTTTTCATACCCTATCTATCACATTATACCTTTTTACTAATAATCTATCCATCAAATCATACTTTTATCCATCACATCAAAGGCCATTTTTGGAAATTTAATACCAAAATACACTCCCCTTAAATCTCTTTTCAAAACAAAACTCTCATGTTTTCTAGGAGGGAGGGAGTATAATAAATATCGTGTCTTATTTAAATAATACTCTTCTTTTTCTTCTTTCTTTTTTCAATCTCTTTTGATTTTTGTTTATGTCATGATTATATTGTTGTCCAAGGTCATAATTGTCTGTGCGACACAGACAATTATCGTCTGTGTTTGTCTGTGCGAAGCATGGGTGCACCCATGGTAGCACCCATGTGGTGTCACCCTAGCATGGTCCTTTTTGTAATCAATGTCACTCATATAAATTTTTGTTTCCAAATTTACACGTCACTGATCTATGTAACAAAAATAAGGGGGCAAATGAGGTAATACTAATGTCTCGACCAAACAAAATAATATTAAATCACATTATTTATATATATATATATATATATATATATATATATATATATATATATATATATATATATATATATATATATATATATATATATATATAAGTGACTTGGAAATAACAATGTTAATTTTGTAAAAGAAATTACTACCTCCGTTACATTTTATAACGCCTGTTTCGGTTTACGATGTTTGACTGGGATTATTTTCAAACCATTTTATATGACAAATGGTATAGAATTAAAAAATAAAAATTACATATTAAAAAACCACATCAAAAGATCTACAAAACTAGTAGTGACAATAATATTTTATTTTATCAAATTGCTAACGAAAATAGAGAAAGAAAGTGAATGAAGTTTGACCATGTGAATAGTAAACAAGCATTATAATTTGGGACGGAGGGAGTACTAATTTCGTATTCCGTATTATTTATAACTAGTATTTCACTCATGTGTTGCACGAGAAAATTTTAATTTTATACTATTACATTAATTTTTTTAATTATAAATTAAGAGTATTTTGAAATATGTTTTATAGTATAAGCAATGTGTGTTTTTAATATCTGTAACATATATGTCTATCTACGAAAATATTTTTTTAAGCCTCAAACTTAAATAGGAATGTACACAATTTTTTAAGACTTATACTTAAATAGAAATGTACGCAATTTTTAAACATTGGTTTTTTTAATTTGTAATGAATAATAACTTGGTTATAAAAGATCGTTTATGATTTTCTGATTCATTGTAATGGGTTATCATATGTAAACATAAACAACCATTATCTTTAATAATTAATTTGATACATTCAAAAGTGTATTGTAACTAAAAAGTATTTAAATATTTTGGAAAACTTCTTTGTACACAACATTGGTAGTGTTGATTTAGAGAATAATGGATTTTACTCAAAAGTCAATATGAGGAATACATGGATGTATATAAATGAAGAGGTTCGGACATAATTAGGACCCAACCTATTACGGAAACTAACTAATATACTCCGTACATTACTACCATAAATACATAGAATTCCTAGCAGTACTGTCTAACTTCCCTCCTCAAATTGAACACTGTGAAACGAGAGAAAGCTTGAAAACCAGAGCTGTGTAGTTAATAAGTTCTAAAATTTAACATACTTACTTATTCTTGAACTCCAATATGGGTGGAAATTTATGATCAAGTATTAGTTTTGTAGCATCAACAAATATTGATGCTTTGTTTATCTCTGCATAACATTAAATTAATTTGTGAGATGCAAATGTACGTCTTAATTTTTAAGAGTACAAAGATATAAATTATATCTTGGTAAACTACTGTTCCTTTGCAAAATTGGCCTTTGTTTTAAAAAGTTCAATATCTGATCTACATATGCACCTCAAAGCATATATATATATATATATCTAAAAATGCAAAGGAATGATTTAGATAAGAAAAAACACTATCTATGTTTTATTTAAAAACTAAAAATTAAATCACTACATTATTAAAAAATCCCAAATAAAGGTTTAAGACAACCATTACCAGTTACAAAAATGGTTTATGCACATTCACGAGTTATATACTACCTCTGTCCCAATTTATAACGCCTGTTTCGGTTTACGATGTTTGACTGAAATTATTTTCAAACCATTTTATATGACAAATGGTATATAATTAAAAAATAAAAGTTACATATTAAAAAACTACATCAAAAGATCTACAAAACTAGTAGTGACAATAATATTTTATTTTATCAAATTGCTAACGAAAATAGAGAAAGAAAGTGAATAAAGTTTGATCCTGTGAATAGTAAACAGACATTATAATTTGGGACGGATGGAGTAATTCTTAATGAAAGAAAATAGAGCACACAAATTTATACAGAGTATATTCTTTGTTTATTTGATTGTTTCAATTAATTTAACACATTAGAAATCTATTTGTAAAAAAAAAATTCTCTGGGGAGCATCACATCTATACCAAAAATGCCCCCTTCAAAAAGGTGTTACTTGATGGGGGGAGTATACTACTCAGAAAGGGTACAGTTGGATGTTTGGTAATTCACCATGCCAAAGTGGAGGTGGAATAGACTGGTTTGGAACAAATGGTACTTATCCAAGCACTAGTTTATTCTTTGGCTCATTTGTAGGGGTAGGCTTCAACCAAAACCAGACTTAGTTGATTTTTGGATATGGATGATCATTGTGTTCTGTGTGGAAGTAGCAGTGAGGATATCAATCATTTGTTCTGGAATTTTAAATTTGCTAATGTCCTCTTACAGGTCCTCTTTCATGGAGATAGGACCTAACTTGAAGGATAGTTTGCACTAAATTAAGAGCTGAGGGTGTTTCTCTGTACTAGTGTTTATTAGAAAAATAGTTTTTTAAACAAAATATTTCTCCATCTTCAACACAAAAAGTATCATAATAATCAACTTCAACTTTTCATTTTTAGAGCCCAATCCGAAGAAAAACACGGGGGCACGCTCCTTGCTTCCTCGTGCCAATCTGCGACTCACCTCTTTTCACCAGTGTCATCCAAAATGCCGACGAGGCACTTTTCGAGCAAGAACTCGGCGTTCACCCAAGCATGGTACTTGTCTGAGGAACAAAAGGTCTGTCAAGGACTCCTCACAAAACAACATTTCCTGAATGCTTGATATGCCTCTTACATTCTCACCAATGAAACCCAAAAAATGAGAACTTTTGATGAGTTAGACACTATCATGCAATCTAATTTATATCATGACCATAAGGTTTTTTTACTGACAGTAAAGAAGCACTAGTTCATAAACGACCGTAAAGAAAATACGCGCCAAAGGATACTGAATAAAGGAGTGCAATCTTTCCCAACAGCTTTCATCAGCATGTCAATGCCTGGGAACAAAACATGACAAGAGTAAAGCTACTAGGAAGGAAATCAGTTACAGGGAAAACACTTCCAGACATAAAACAGATGAAGTAGAAATTAGAAATAAGGATCAAATTGCAGAAGAGATAAAGAACTACTCCGTATATACTACGGAGTAATTACATACCTCCAGGGTGGAATTTCATGTAAGGAGTAATATTATACACACTGCCTTTTAAAACTGTCCACATAGAGCCTTCTGTTTGGTGCTGCCTTACTTCACGCATTGATATAAGCCTCTTGTTTGACTTCCCTTTCAATCCTAAAGCGAATCAGTTTAAAAAAGGGCACTTAGAAAGAAATCACAGAGGCACTTGCCACAATTTGTAAGACAATCTCATCATCAGACAAAGTTGAATCCCTGTCTCTGCAATGGAAAGATGCATAAAAGCATGTGTTTGTGTGGCCTATACCAAGGCTCAAACATCACTTGCATGGAAGATACGCCCAAAGCTTTGTAAACTATGACTGGAAAACAAATGCAAATTCAAGTAGCACGAGCAATGACAAAATATTCCAATATTTCCAAATTTCCAATCAATATGGGAAGTAGTAAAATTTCCCTAGAATCTTCGACAAAGTTCATATTATGTGGATAAATAAAGAAAAATATAAAATAACATTCAACAAGCACCGAGAAGTATCAAACATTTTTCTAAAGTACAATTGATCTCCTTATTTTTCTGAAAAAAAATGATAGCGCGGTTTTTTTAAAAAAAAACAATACTACAGAGTATATCAAAAGACTGACTGATTTTCCTTAAATTTAGAGAACTGATATTTCTTACCTCGGGTACAAGTAAATGGAGCAAATGTAGTCACACATGTTATTACTTGTTAGGGGAAACTGAAGGGAAATAAAGGCAAAGCCCTAAGAATTTTAAACTTACCGGCAAGGTCAGGATTAGTACGTGTAAGCTTGAGCCAATCCATTTGGCTATAGCCCTTTTCAAAAGGGACCTTGGCCCGAGCAACAGGCTCCCTACACACAAGCTTCTGTGCAGCTTTTTCATTTGATGAGCTCTCAGTACCATCTGGAGCCGACTGTTTTGCAGCTTCACTAGGGTGCATTTGAGGAGCTGTACTGATGACATTGAAGGACAAGGATCCCATCGTTTCTTCCTTCTTTGCAGCGGTATAATAAGGAAGCTTGTTATTCCATACTATAAACTCATATTTGCTTTGCCTACTTGAAGCGTCCTCTTCTAAAGTGATGTTTCTTATTCCAGGAACCACCGTTTGTTCATCAGAACCATTTTGGTCAGGGGGTGCACTGACCTGTATATAAAGAAATAAGGTTTTTTCTTCAAGTTTAGATGCGACTTAGTGTTCACTTCTAATGTTCTTGCTAGAACAGTCATCATTGATAACATTTTAATTTCCCGTAAACAATGGACTAGATCAAAATGGCACATCAAACATCCTTTGCATCTTACTTTCGATGATGTTTTGACCCTCTAGATCCCAACGGTGTTGATATTGTATTGGGCTTTGGTGTTTTGTTGTTATAAAGTTCACACGAGACTTCACAAATACAAATCATCCACCGGGATGAAAGCATGAAGATGCGAACCAAGATTTGATGCATGGTAATAAGTGTTACTAACTTGCCTGGCAAAATGTAAAATCATTATCTTTGTTGCTTTCCATTTTACAAGCAATCAACTGCACAAACGAAGGAGGACAGTTCTCCTGTCCATCCAAGAAAAAATCACTAACATGAGAATAATCCCTTACCTTAATACTTTCTTTGGATTGATGGGAAACCTCATCTAGCAAGTTGCATACCAGAATATAGCAATTAATGGATGAAAGAAACAAAGGAGAAGAAGCTGCAATCCATTCAAATCGAATATATTCCCTTAATTGAGTTATAGCTGTAGAATAAGATTCAGTCTAATTAACTTCCCATTACCCAATTCAACCCCAATTTATAACATTATTCACACTTGTGTAGTTTTGCAATCCAAGACCTAAATAATATGGATGACATAAACAAAAAGGGGAAAATTATAATCTTATAAAAAAGCAGAAGAAAAGTGACATAGCTAGCAAAGATCCTAACTTTTAATAGGGTTTCATCAATCAATAAAATGCATAATTGGCGATCAAGAAATCAAGGCAAAAAGAGTGATAAATTACCAATAATTTTCGGAGATATGAAATCCAAAGAAAAGATTATAACTTTCGCGGGGTGAAGACAAATCACTCGCGAAAAAAACACTCGAAAATAAGGAAAGCACAACACAAAACGTAAAAACGATGACAACCAGAGACAAAAACAGGATAGAAGAATGATTATACATACCTGAGAAATCAATCGGAATAGTTGAGGGCTAAACCCGGAGATGAGTCCAACTCAATGATTTTGTAGCTTTGACAATAACAAGAAGGTTAGTTGAGAAATCAGACTAAAGCCTTGTTTGGAATAACCTTTTTTATTAGTGTAAATTTTTTGGATAAAACTTTAATGGGATAAGTTAATATTAAATTACTAACGCTAAAAACTATTATCAAATAGTTTTTTTTAAAACTCTAACCTTTAATGTTGATACCAAAGGAGGCCTAAAATATTTGTAAATACCTTCTATACCATTCATCTTGATGTACTATATTTTTCATATAGTCGTATAAATATACTTATTTTTGAAAAATTGAATATTCATTTTTTTTGTATAACAAAGTACACACCAGTGGAGAATCTGTACATGCAGAGAATGATAAAGAAATAAATGATCAATCTGAAGTACAAGCAACAACAAAAGTTCTCACAAATATTCGGAAGAGTCATCCCATTGAAAATTTAATTAGATCATCATTTGAAGGATGAGAATCCAGAAAAAGAAGATTGACTTCCTAGAGATGACTAAGGCTTACTATACGTCATCAGTTGAATTCAAAAGAGTCAAGGAAGCTTTGACAAACGAAGCATGGATATAAATGTTATGCATGAAGAATAGAAGTGATGAAAACTTGGATCTAGTGTACCTAGACTAAGAATCTATTATTGTAGAAGAAGAAAAATAATAAAGATGTGTAGAAATGGATGAAGAAGATGATATTGAATGAGAATAATAAAGAAGAGTGAGTGTATTCATCATGCATTCATGCCCCCCTCCCTCCTCAAGAGGGGTATAAATAAGGGGATAGTAAGGTTAGAGTTAAGGCACAACTCATGCACAATGACTAATGGGCTGGTCCAATAGACTTGGACGTCTAAATAACTCATCATCAGTGCAGGATTCACGAGCTGGTCTAACAGACTAGATTGTTATAACTAACGTTATACAAAGATTAGATCAGTTACATTACAAAGGACATGTCTAATATTCCTCCACAACGCCCTATTCATCTTTTTTGTGACAATAAGGCAGCCATACACATAGCCTCTAATCCTGTCTTCCATGAGAGAACGAAACACTTCAATATTGATTACCATTATACGTACTCGTGACAAGATCTCAGAAGGGTTCGTACAAATTGCTTTTGTACCTTCTTGCTTGCAATTGGCTGATGTCCTTACCAAACCGTTGGGGGAAGCAAGTCACAATGACTTGGTCTCAAAGATGGGTTTGTTGCGGTGTCCTCCATGTCCACCTTGAGGGGGATGTAGAGCATAGGTTATTAGAATAGTTGTTAGTTGGTTGTGAGATTGTTACGTTTGTTATGTCTATTTTGGATTGGTTATATCCCAATCAATTCATGTATAAATACTAGATGATATTCCATTACCAAACGAGAGGTTTTGTTTTCATCATTCTATCGTCTCCTTACTTTTCCATCCTTCTCTTTTCTTCTCTACGCTACCAAGCGTTTTCAGAGTATGAAAGTTCCTATTATCTCAAACTCCATATATATATATATATATATATATATATATATATATATATATATATATATATATATATATTGACTCCAGTGAGATGACACCTTACGGTGAGATGACGCCAAGCTCACCACACAACACTACAAAACTCACCAATAGACAATGCAAAGCTCACCTAGAAATGAAGCAATGCTCACCATTTTGAACACCAAAACTCACCTTTTTTAAAAATTTTGAAAATTTAAAAATTAATAAAAAATAAAATAACAACACCGATCAACCATCGGAGGCGGCGGCGGCCGGCGACAGGAGACCAACGGTGGTGAAAAACTAGGGGGTAAAAGTTTTTTTTTGATAGATAAGGTAACATCTTTTGGAAACAACAAAAAATGAAAAAAGAAGATTTTTTAGGGACGGAGGGAGAATTTTTATGTATGGTATATTTAGTCAAACATATTGTATAATAATTAGTAATAATAATAATAATTGCTTTCAAAAAAATTAATAATAATAATAATTGACCGTGGTTGTGTCCCTAAATATAGTAAAATGTTATGCATGGTAAATTTTATGTATGATAAATTTTTCATATATAATAATAATTAATAATAATAATAATATTACCCCATCCGCACTAATATTTTTGTCCCATTAGTTTTTTTATTATGTGTATATCAATTTTAAACTGTAACATATATCAATTTTAAAATTATTACTATTATTATTATTATTATTATTCGTATTTCTACGTTTTGTACACACACAAAATCTCCATATTCCATGCACCCAAGGTTCACGCCTAATTTATGGATTTTCTGACAAAAATGGTTGGGCTTAGAAATTAGAAGCTAATATTAAAAAAAGTCCTTTTTTCACCAAAAATAATTTATGTAATCCTAAATTCCTAATCCTAATTCCAATACTAATTTTATTCCTCATCTTAATTATACTCCTAATTCTAATCATAATATTAGTCCCAATCCAAAAACTAATCACAATCCTAATCACAATCGTAAAAGTAATTGGAATAGACGTGTGAGATATCTTACCCTATATATAATGGGCCAGGTAGGGAAGGAGAAGTAATTAAAGCATAGGGATTGAATAAAATTGTCAACTATGGCTAATAACAATAATAAGAATCATAATATTAGTAGTAATGATGATAACCGTTTTAATTATAATAAAGCATCCTCTGTCGTCTTCGCAGTGGCAGGGCAAATATTTGGGATCGCAGCTCTGGTTCTCATGCTGGTTTGGCTCCTCCATTTTCGGGGTGGCCTTAATCTCAATTCCCATGACCCCAACCGGGTTTTCAATGTGAGTCTTTAAAGATATATTCCCTCCGTCCCTAAATAAACTTCCGTTTTTGACTTTTTGAGGATTTAAGATAGGGATATTTTTGTGTTGACTTTCCAAAAATACTCTTGATGTGATGTGTAAAAGTAAGATGTGATATGTAGATTATTAATAAAAATGTATGATGTGATATGTATGGTATGAAAAAGTAAGGGGTAAAAGGGGTTTTTTAAAGGAAAAGAGAAGTTTATTTGGGGACAAAGAAAAAACGAAAGGTGAAGTTTATTTATGGACGGAGGGAGTAATCCTTTTTGTTGTTAATAATTGATTAATTTATACTCAATAGTACTCCCTATTTTGTTTGATCATGTTTTCAATATTTAGGCTCCGTTTGATACAAATTATAGAATAGTAATTAGAGACAATAATTTCAATTCTACTGTCCGGTATCACAAAAATATGTAGATTTGAAATTAGGTGTACCAAAAAAGTATTGGAATTGGATATTTCAATTTCATCCAAATCAATTTCATAGGATTCGAACTCCCAATTCTATTCCAATTCCAAAATCGATAGGACTATTTTAGATCTATTTGGAGCAATATTAGTAATTAAAATCTAATGTGTGTTGTGTATGCATATCATCGTATTGTGCCGCAGGTTCACCCATTCCTAATGTTCTTTGGATTCATGTTCTTCTTGGCTCAAGGTATGTACAAATTCTCGTTCAATTCTTATAATGTTGGATTTCAATATTTTATATATATATATATATATAGACACACATATCATATATGTATGTATGTATATATATATATAGACACACATATATATACATGCAGGTTTGGTCGTATACGACGGAATGGTGTGCCGAGTGGTTGCAATAAGTTTGGGCGGTGTGGGAATTCGCGCGGCTATAAAATCCCATCATACGCTCAACTTTGGGAGCCATATGCGAAGCTTACATTCTTGGATTGGCATCGCCGCTTTCTCACTCTTTGTCTTGGAGGTAATTAACTACAAAGTACATGGTAACATGGGATAGTTTAAGAAATATTTGTCCCCCCTGTATTTGTCCACTTTTGACTTTTGGAACTGTTCATCTAAGCACTTTAACTCATCAAATTCTCTCAATGTGTAAGCCTAAATATAGTCATGTGTGATTTTGTTTGATTTGTCTTAACATATACTACCTCCGTCCCGCTATATTCGTCCACTTTTGACTTTTGGAACTATTCATCTAAGCATTTTGACTCATCAAATTCTCTCAATGTGTAAGCCTAAATATAGTCATGTGTGATCTTGTTTGATTTGTCTTAACATATAGATTATTAGTATATAATTTCTATAATTTTTCAATATACAAATTACAAGATAAAATAGATTAAAGAAGTGTATTGGATGGTGTGTAAAAATGAAAGTGGACAAATACTCTGGGACGGAGGGAGTAGATTATTAATACTCTCTCCGTCCCAAAAAGTTTGTTACGTTTAGAAAAAACTCCGTCCCATAAAGTCCGTTACATTTCTATTAAAAAACCACTTTTACCCCTTACTTTTTCATACCCTACCTATCACATCATACCTTTATTCTAATAATCTACCCAGCACATCCCACTTTTACCCCTTACTTTTTCATACCCAAAATATCTCTCTCTTAATTTTCCAAAAAGTCAAACCGTCCCATTCTTTTTGGGACGGAGGGAGTATATAATTTCTATAATTTTTTAATATACAAATTACAAGATAAAATGGATTAAAAAAGTGCATTGGATGGTGTGTAAAAATGAAAGTGGACAAATACAGGGGGACGGAGGGAGTATTAAATAGTACTAAAACTTCATTTCTTTAAATAGCACTTAGATTGTTTTTTTCCCCAAATAGCACTTAATAATATCCAAAATGACCTGTGATGACAAACATTTACATAATAATGACTAATACATAATGACTAAAAGTACTACATTGGAAAAAAACATATGTAGTGTTATTTAGGGAAAGTCATTATGTTTTAGTGCTATTTACGTAAATTCCTCATAGTTTAATTTGTCTATTAGAATAAAAAAAATTATCTGGGGTGTAACTACAAATTTGATCTTTTGGTCGAGTTTTTTTACATGAAATCAGAGACCTGTTTATTAATAGGTCGCATGTTTAAATGTCAGCGTTATCCAAATTTTTATTTAAAAAACTAATGATTCACATGCAAGCAAGGTTCAAAAAGACTATGCCTACACGTGAAGGGACGCGGTATAACCACAAACTTGAACTTTTGATTGATTGAACTAATTTCTTGAGAGTTTGGAACATACTCCTTGAATTATTTTACAAAACAATTCCAGTTGTAAAATAGTTTTACACAATCTATTAAAAAGTCTATTTTACCCCTATTTTTATTTGGAATATTTAAGAGTACATAATAAAAACACACTAATTAAGTTATTGTTGGTGTGCATGCATGCATGCATGCAGCTTGCGTTCGGTATCCTCAAGTGTTGTGGAGATGCAGCGGAAAACTCGAAGGAAAAGCCGAGGAAAAGCGGTCCAACAGGGCGGACGGTACTGTACATGGCGACATGTGCGGCGCTCAGCGGGCTGATGGAGAGGTCCGCCGCAATGGACGACCTTGACGGCGGCGGCGGCCGTAGCCATCGGGAGTCCACCATTATCAACGTCCTCGCACTGTTTATCCTTCTCTTCGCCGTATCAATTGATAAAGCCGTCGTTTATGCGGTTGC